GAACGTCCTTGCCCCCCTGCCGCTGCAAGGAAGAGGTATGCTGGATGCGGGCTCTCAGTTCCTGCAATCCCAGCAGCTGTTCCTAGGGGCTGGGGCGCCTGCAGTGGTTCCTGGGGGTGCTCAGTCCCTGCAATCCCAGCAGCTGTTCCTAGGGGCTGGGGGCGCCTGCAGTGGTTAGCAGCTGTCCCTGGGAGGAGTGGGGGCCATGTTGGGGCTCTCGGCCTCTGCAACCCAGCGGGAGGCAGTGGGCTGCCCTGCCAGCAGTGACACTGCTCTCTCTTCCAGGTAGATGGCTGCTACGACATCAATCTGCTCTCCTACACCTGAGCGCAGCTCGCACTGGCCGCCTCCCTGCCCAGACAAAGGCGTCTGCGCTCCCTCAGCCTCCTCCACGGCATCTCCCAGGCTTCTGCACACCCTGCTGTTTGCCAGCCTGCTTCTCCCTGCAGCGTTCTCCTCTCCCGGCACTGCACAGGTGCCCTGTTCCGAGCCAGCGGCTGTGTCTCCGCCTTCTGATGCCTGCGCTCTGTGGCCGGCTGTTCGGCGCAGGCCCCTGCCGGGAAGAACCGATGAATCCTGCTGCCGGTGGGACCTGGGGTGTGCAAAGCCAAGTGATGTGCCGGGCTCAGGGAACGCAGTTACTGCCCTGGGGCCATGCCCCTCTGGACCTGAGCTTGCCCAGTGCAGACGTTCCCTGGTCACAAGTACCACCCCTGTGGCTGTGCAGTAGGAGCTGCTGTGGCAGTGCTTGTTCTCCCTGTTCTGGGATACAGGGCAGGGGCCTTGCCGCCTTCCCTCCCTGGGAGAGGGGCAGCAGGGGGAGGGGGGAGGAAGGACTTGGGTGGAGCCTTCCTGGCTGGGGGCTGTGATGAGGCTGCAAGGCTTGGCACCTGGGGGCAGGAGAGCTACCTGCTGGCTCCTGGGGGGGCTCAGCCCCAATGGCAATTGAGGATGCTACCCTCATAGTCAGTTCAGCCACCCCATTGCTCCCCACAAGGGTCCCCAGGCATCTCCCAGCCCCCGCTGACCTAACTCAACCACCTCTGAAGATGGTGACTTGGGCCCCAGCCCCTCCCTGGCCCCAGGCTGCCTAGCTCAGGTGCATGGAAGAGATTCAAACTCTTGCTGTCCTGGAGCCCCGTTCCTCAGCTGCTGGGGGGTTTTGCCCAGGCCTGCTCCCTACTCCCGGGGTAATGCTGCTCTGGGACCCTGCCCCCTCTGCAGAAAAGCAGGTGATGGGGTGTGTCTGGGCCCCCCACAGCTGCCAAGCCTGGCTTTGTGCCATTAACTGCTGGGAGGTGTCTTGGGCAGTTTGGGTACTGGTGGGACTGGCTCTGTCCCTGGGATTAAGGGCAGGGCCCATTTCCCTTGCCCGTGAGCTAGGCCTGGGCAGTTGGCCTCTCCAGGGCGGGAGCAGCCTTTGCCGCCTGGGAGGGGCTGGCCCTAACCACTGGCAACTGAGCCCTAGAGAGAAGCAGCGTGGAGCAGAGCCGTGGTGTGAGCCCTGTTCTCCTCCCCCTGCCCCTGCTTGGGCCTTTCTCCCAGCTGCAGCAGGGCCTGGCCTGGCCTGGCCAAGTTAGGAGTGGGTCTTGGGCTGCACCACGCCATGCTGTTCCCACCACTAGCCACTGCCCCCAGGGCTCACCCCTGGTCTGCCTGGGCCCACAGTGGGAAGCATCGTGCACCTGGCTGCTGTAATAAACAACCCCGAAGCTGAGCAGTGCTAGTGGTTTCTTGGAGCACAGCAACTGGCAAATACCATCCCTGCAGGCAGGCCTGGGCATCATCACCTCCCTGGGGCCCAGCTTGGTGGTTCCTGGGGCTGCTCCCAGGTCTGTGCCTTGCCCAGCCCCGGGCGGGGGGGGAGGGGGCGGTACAGCGCAGGGGCTCATTCAGCTCTAGGCGTGTGGGGGTGAATGAGGAAAGGCAGTGTTGCCCCAGGAGAGGGCATTCCACCTCTGCCCTCCTGAGGACACAGTGCTCAGTTTAGGTCCCTTGCCCTTGGGCGTAAGGCGCTTTGCACATGTGACTTAGCATGATCCAGGCAGTCCTCGCCGAATGCACCGAGGTCAGGACAGGCTGCAAGAGAGCACACACCCCCATAACTGGTGGTCACCACCGATGTTAAACTCCCCAACCAATCTCAAACTCTGCTTGTGACCCCTCCACTGGCTAGTGAAAAAAGCAATTGTGCAGCCCTCTTGCAGTCTGGGTCTCTGGATCCAAGTCAGCACCTTGGTCCAGTACAGCGAGAAGCTATTTGAAAACTCTGCTCCGATCAAATGTCCTGTCCCCGCAGGGCCAGCCACATTACCAGCTCAATACTGGTTTGGCTCTTACCCAAAATACCAAGCTGGCAGACAGTCCTTGGCTGCGTCTACACTGGCATGATTTTCCGAAAATGCTTTTAACGGAAAAGTTTTCCGTTAAAAGCATTTTCGGAAAAGCACGTCTAGAGTGGCAGGATGCTTTTCCGCAAAAGCACTTTTTGTGGAAAAGCGTCCGTGGCCATTCTAGACACGCTTTTCCGCAAAAAAGCCCTGATCACCATTTTCGCAATTGGGGCTTTTTTGCAGAAAACAGTACTGTGCTGTCTACACTGGCCCTTTTGCGCAAAAGTCTTTTCTTTTGCCCGAACGGAAGCAGCATAGTATTTCCAGAAAAGCACTGACGATCTTACATGAGATCGTCAGTGCTTTTCCGGAAATTCAAGCGGCCGGTGTAGACAGCTGGCAAGTTTTTCCGCAAAAGCAGATGATTTTGTGGAAAAACTTGCCAATCTAGACACAGCCCTTGAGTCTCTCAAACTAAAGGCCACAAAAGGGCGAAAAGAGTTGTTAGACTTCAAAGTCTATAATGGGGCGGTATTGGTGAGTTTGCTGGCTTGAAAGTGCCTCTGAAATACATCTGCAGCTCGGATTGGTTTTTATACAGAGCTTCAGCTTGTTACACCAGAGATAAGAAGCAGGGTTGTAGACAAAAAAAGGGTGGAAATGCTGGTTCTGGCTTTTATCTGTTTCCCATATGGATGAACTTCCTGTGTCCCAAACACAAGCTTTGCAGCACATGGCCTCAAAAAGCCCAAGAGTTCTGGCCGGAGGTTTGCTAACTCAAGGCGCAGCCCCTGGCTTTTCAAAGGGTTCATTATATAGCTGCTGACCCTTGGTGCATCATCAAACTAGGCACTGCTAGTCTGGGGGATGTTACCCAGAAACAACACAAGATAGGAAATATAGTTATGTTCAAAATGTGTTCATTTCAGAAACATAAAACAGGACGATGTAGCTGATAGAAATGTAGCCATGTTAGTCTGGTGTAGCTGAAACAAAATACAGGACTATGTAGCACTTTAAAGACTAACATGATGGTTTATTAGATGATGAGCTTTCGTGGGCCAGACCCACTTCCTCAGATCAAATAGTGGAAGAAAATTGTCACAACCATATATACCAAAGGATGCAATAAAAAAAAATGCACACGTGAAAAGGACAAATCACATTTCATTTTCATATGTGTTCATTTTTTTAATTGTATCCTTTGGTATATATGGTTGTGACAATTTTCTTCCACTATTTGATCTGAGGAAGTGGGTCTGGCCCACGAAAGCTCATCACTTAATAAACCATCTTGTTAGTCTGTAAAGTGCTACATCGTCCTGTTTTTGTTTCAGCTACACCAGCCTAACACAGCTACATTTCTATATATGTTAGTTTCAGGAAATTGTACCATAAATCTGTTAGTCTTTGAGGTACCACAGGACTCCTTGTTTTTGCAGATACAGACTAACACAGCTACATTTCTATATATGTTAGTTTCAGGAAATTGTACCATAAATCTGTTAGTCTTTGAGGTACCACAGGACTCCTTGTTTTTGCAGATACAGACTAACACAGCTACATTTCTATATATGTTAGTTTCAGGAAATTGTACCATAAATCTGTTAGTCTTTGAGGTACCACAGGACTCCTTGTTTTTGCAGATACAGACTAACACAGCTCCCCTCTCTGAGGCTGTGTCTAGACTGGCATGATTTTGCAGAAATACTTTTAACAGAAACACATTTCTGTTAAAAGTATTTCTGCAAAAGCGCGTCTAGATTGGCACGGATGCTTTTGTGCAAAAGCAACCACTTCTGCATAAAATCTTGCCAGTCTAGATGCATCTGAGACTTTTCACAATATAAAAATGAAGCTAGAAACAAGATCATATCTGGCAACCAACATAGCTATAGGTTCCTTACATCCATATCTGGTCAGATTTTTGTAACACTGTCAGTATCAACACTAGTGCAGTGTGCTCCCCATATTCCTTCAGCCCAAGAGGGGCTCACTGGGCAGAGTCACTGGATAAAGCCTGTCCTGGGCTCCGCACAGGGAGGGGACTCTCCAGGGGATGGGGCGCAGTGGGGCTCCATGAAGGAAGCCACATGCTGACCCCTCCAAGATGAGTGTGCATGAGCCCAGGGATGGGAGCTCCAGGCCCAGAGCACCCGCATCTGGCATTGTGGGTTACAGCCTCAAGCCCTGGAGAGCCACCCACCCGTCTGGTCTCAGGCCCGTTCCTGCACTGCCAGCTAGCACACACCTGAGATTGCAGGGCTCTGCCTCTGATTGGCCAGCTGGGAGCAGGGGGCCGGCAGGAGCCAGCAGCGGCTAAGTCTGATGGGGGTCAGGGGTATAATGGGGAGGTGGGCCCAGGTCCCTGGACCCCAACCCCCTCAGGCCCCCCACTGCCCCGCAGGACCCCAACCCCCTCAGGCCCCCCACTGCCCCGCAGGACCCCAACCCCCTCAGGCCCCCCACTGCCCCGCAGGACCCCAACCCCCTCAGGCCCCCCACTGCCCCGCAGGACCCCAACCCCCTCAGGCCCCCCACTGCCCCGCAGGACCCCAACCCCCTCAGGCCCCCCACTGCCCCGCAGGACCCCAACCCCCTCAGGCCCCCCACTGCCCCGCAGGACCCCAACCCCCTCAGGCCCCCCACTGCCCCGCAGGACCCCAACCCCCTCAGGCCCCCCACTGCCCCGCAGGACCCCAACCCCCTCAGGCCCCCCACTGCCCCGCAGGACCCCAACCCCCTCAGGCCCCCCACTGCCCCGCAGGACCCCAACCCCCTCAGGCCCCCCACTGCCCCGCAGGACCCCAACCCCCTCAGGCCCCCCACTGCCCCGCAGGACCCCAACCCCCTCAGGCCCCCCACTGCCCCGCAGGACCCCAACCCCCTCAGGCCCCCCACTGCCCCGCAGGACCCCAACCCCCTCAGGCCCCCCACTGCCCCGCAGGACCCCAACCCCCTCAGGCCCCCCACTGCCCCGCAGGACCCCAACCCCCTCAGGCCCCCCACTGCCCCGCAGGACCCCAACCCCCTCAGGCCCCCCACTGCCCCGCAGGACCCCAACCCCCTCAGGCCCCCCACTGCCCCGCAGGACCCCAACCCCCTCAGGCCCCCCACTGCCCCGCAGGACCCCAACCCCCTCAGGCCCCCCACTGCCCCGCAGGACCCCAACCCCCTCAGGCCCCCCACTGCCCCGCAGGACCCCAACCCCCTCAGGCCCCCCACTGCCCCGCAGGACCCCAACCCCCTCAGGCCCCCCACTGCCCCGCAGGACCCCAACCCCCTCAGGCCCCCCACTGCCCCGCAGGACCCCAACCCCCTCAGGCCCCCCACTGCCCCGCAGGACCCCAACCCCCTCAGGCCCCCCACTGCCCCGCAGGACCCCAACCCCCTCAGGCCCCCCACTGCCCCGCAGGACCCCAACCCCCTCAGGCCCCCCACTGCCCCGCAGGACCCCAACCCCCTCAGGCCCCCCACTGCCCCGCAGGACCCCAACCCCCTCAGGCCCCCCACTGCCCCGCAGGACCCCAACCCCCTCAGGCCCCCCACTGCCCCGCAGGACCCCAACCCCCTCAGGCCCCCCACTGCCCCGCAGGACCCCAACCCCCTCAGGCCCCCCACTGCCCCGCAGGACCCCAACCCCCTCAGGCCCCCCACTGCCCCGCAGGACCCCAACCCCCTCAGGCCCCCCACTGCCCCGCAGGACCCCAACCCCCTCAGGCCCCCCACTGCCCCGCAGGACCCCAACCCCCTCAGGCCCCCCACTGCCCCGCAGGACCCCAACCCCCTCAGGCCCCCCACTGCCCCGCAGGACCCCAACCCCCTCAGGCCCCCCACTGCCCCGCAGGACCCCAACCCCCTCAGGCCCCCCACTGCCCCGCAGGACCCCAACCCCCTCAGGCCCCCCACTGCCCCGCAGGACCCCAACCCCCTCAGGCCCCCCACTGCCCCGCAGGACCCCAACCCCCTCAGGCCCCCCACTGCCCCGCAGGACCCCAACCCCCTCAGGCCCCCCACTGCCCCGCAGGACCCCAACCCCCTCAGGCCCCCCACTGCCCCGCAGGACCCCAACCCCCTCAGGCCCCCCACTGCCCCGCAGGACCCCAACCCCCTCAGGCCCCCCACTGCCCCGGGGGACCCTAACCCTCTCTGAGCCCCCCCCTGCCCCACGGGACCCCAACTCCCCTCCGAGTCCCAACTGCCTCCTGACGCCCCCTTTTCTCCCAACTGCCCCTCTCTGCAGCCCCGTACATTGCCCCAATTACTTCTCCCTGCCCCACAAACCATCTCCAACTGCCCCTCCCTGCAACCTCGACTGCCCCCAACTAGTCTTCATGACTGTGCCCTGTGTCCATCTCCCTCCTGCCGGTGTCTCCTGCCTGTGCCGCAGAAGC